CACATAGAATTCAAGCATGTAATTAAAAAAACCCTAGGCTTGCCAAATGCAAACCCTACAAACTAGACGAACACCAAGCCAAAAAATTAAAATGAACAAATAAAATAGTAACATGCAAAGGAAAGAAAACCCACTTTCAGGGAAAGAAGCTGCAAAAATGAAAAACCAGTGAGAGAGAGAGTTCCTGAGAAAAATGGAGAACTAGAGAGCCACTTAAAAGCGAAGACACTGCACCCAAAAATAAAAAGGACTAAATAGTGTAAAAATTTGGATTGCTCGAGAAGACCAAGAGTTAATAACTTATTATCAATCATAAACAGTTTTGATGGTCGATAAGATAAGGACAAATGAGACTAAAAAAGTGGGCCTCTCCGCACATCATATTTTTAGTATAATCTCAATTAATAAAAAAAATTTTGTCAACAAAAAAAATATGCAAAAATAAATTAGTCTTCTATTACATAAAAAAATGATGGGCAATAATATAATTTTACAGGTCCAAAATTACTGTTTTTTATTGAAGCCTCACCTACAGGTGATGTTAAAATACCTCTAATACTAACAAAAAAAAAATTGAAAACAAAAACCTTCTGTTCCCCCCACGTTCTCTCTCTCCCTCTCTCCTTCTCATTTTTTTTTAAAATGTGTCCATACATACAAAGTATACAGGCAAATGCTAATATTTTATATAAAAAAATATTAAAGAGTCCATTCAAAGTAATATTTTTTATAGACTTCCCACCATCTCATATTTTATACATAATATTTTATAATATTAGCACAAGAATTGTGTTAAAAACATGAGATGGCTAGGAGTCCATGAACCCATTTTTGGGAGAGTCTCCTTAGAGCAGTTCCACCCCTAGAGACTTTGCGCCAGCACCCAGCACATTTATCCACTCAAGTGAACAGTAATATACTCCAGTGAAAAGTAATAGACCAAAGCATCTCCATCCCTAAAAAAAATAGCCCAGTCAATTTATTAAAATATTATTATTTTTAATTTCTAACTTTATAAAAAAATAAAATAATATTATTATTATTAAAATATTTTTATTTTCCCATCTTCCACCCTTCTCTTCCCTTCCATTCCTCCACGCCATCCACCCAGCACAGATAATCCATTCCCACCGCCGCCTCCTAACCTCCTCTAACGTCGTTGCCACCCTGTCCTTCAAATCCCAAGCCAACCTCAACAACAAGCTCCTCTACACCTCCTGTCCTTCAACGTCGTCGCTTCGTCCTCCTGCATCTCCACACCTCCGATGTCGTCGCTTCGTCCTTCCGTCCTTCTCCCTCCGTGGCTCCTTCCCTCCCGACACCCTCTTCCGCCTCGACCAGCTCCGCTCCTCACCTCCACAACAACGCCCTCTCTGGCGCAACAAAAAAAAAAGGCTGACATCATATGCCCTCCGACGCCATGCTGACGTCAGATGGACCGATCCCAAGGTCTGTCAATTTTGGGCTGGCCTGGAGACCAGCTTGGGCTGGGTGCCAGGCAATGGAACGGGCTAGAGTGGATTGGCTGAGTGCCAGCCTTGTTTTTTGGCTGAGTGCCGGCCTAACCACCTCCCGGTGCAACTGCTCTTAGCATTTCTTTGTTTTATAATGTTGGCATACAAATTATTCCAAAAAGATGAGGTGACAGAGAGTCCATAGAGAATGAGTCTCCTTTGTATTTCAAATAAAAATTAAACTTGTAAATCGTGTGATGTGTTACCAGTAAAAATTAACACTTAATTAATCATTTATCATCAACAAGCACGTTATATAACTTAAATTAATGAACCCTTAATATTTTCGTATATACAAATATTAAGAAGATAAATTCAGAAAGAATGTCATTGGACATGCAGAGATATTGGATCAACCAAAAACAAATTAATTATTAATTATATATTAAACAAAAGAATTACCACGCATTTTTTTAGTATTAAGTACTATATATCATGATGATGGTTATGGATTTAGACAGGGTACGATTATTAAGTAAAAAGTAAGAAAAATGTACCATCTTTTGTTTGGTAACTAAGAAAAGTACCATTTTAGTTTGAAAAGTCGGAAAGTGATCCAGAGATGATCTCTTTTCACCAAATTCATTTAATTCAGGATCCGAATTATTGGATTTTGTTACAAAGGTTATAATTATTATAATTTTTAAAAAGATCCTTATTTATAACCATTGAATCAAAATCCAACGACTAAGACCTCGGACTAGATGAATTTGGTAAAATGCGCCTAAAATGTCTATCACTAGTCTTATGGCATGGTCAAAAACTGAACACGTGTACATCTGTCCCAATGTATCTATGATCAGCATTAAACTCTGCAGACGAAAATGGCTCAAGCTAGGGCAACTAAATTTAGGAGAAATCTTTTATTGCAACTCAATTACTGTAGACGGAAATCCCTCGCGTTCAATAAATATTTATTGTGTTGTGAATTGGTGATAGGAGAATTCTATTTTTTTCAAATATAGAGTTTTTATTGTAGGCAAACATTTTACGTGATACAAATATACGTTTTCAGTTAGTGATACAATTTTATGTATAAATTTTTTGAATCATGGATACAAGAAAACACATTCACAATTTTAGTAAAGTGTGAGAAGAGAGAAGAAAATGAGATGATAATAGAACATGAGTAAATTCTTGCCTACTATTATATCCTATTTTATGTCCTGTATAACTTTACCGCCCAATTCATCAACTATAGGATAAGGTTGCAGGTGAGGAGAGTTGATGCCTCCCACCTTTAGAGGTACGTGGATTTTACAAGGTGTTAATGACTATTTGTCGATAAGGTTGTAGGCGGAAAGGAATCCCTTCCAAATCTCTTCTACTAAATTCATCAAATCAATCAATCTGAACTCTTGAAATTTAATTCAACGATTAAAGTTATTATAACTTTAAAAGGGTCCCTTGTTTATAGTCGTTTGATCAAATTTCAAAAGTTTGGAATAATTAATTGGGCAAATTTGATGGAAGGGATCCACAGAGGATCCCTTTCTATTAGAGGCATTTCTACACTGATTAGTGGCTACCTGTTGATGTATGTGGATTTTACTATACATGAATGACTTAGGGTCACCAGTTGATAAGGTCGTAGGCCCTCTTTATTTTAGTTAGGAAAAAGGATCCGACGAGGATCATTTTTCTAGTAACCATAGGGATTCTACAATCGTGATCATTTATCGTATATCGTGAAGTCAGTTTTCGTTAGGTACTATTTATATTTTAATTTTTAAATAATTTCTGACCGCACGATATACGATGAACGAATACGATTGTGTGATTTCTAGGATTCCCAGAAAAAAGATCCAGCGAGGATCCTTTTCCTTTAGTTAGTGGTTGCATATTGATGTAAGTGGGTTCTACTTCCACAATGTTGAAATGACTTAAAGAGCCACTTGCACAAGCCCTAGGGTAATGTCTCAAAATGTTTTTCTTTCATTGGACTTTGGGTTGTTAAAACTCTTAAGATTTTTAGTGTTCGTGGCGATGTCATCAACAGGAAATTAAATCTTCTAACGTACTAATTAATTAAATTTCGATCCTATTTCTACCATCCCCACATGGGAGCATCTATCACATTCAGAAAACTCTAAAATAGTTTAGGTTTTTCAATCAAAAATCAACAACATAGTAAGGATGTAAAAGTTGTGTATGTGAGAGTGAGAACATGAAAGCCACCATCGAGTTTTTAGTCTTTACATCAGTAATTCTAGCTACATTTCACATAAAATCACTTGTTATTTTCATTTTTATTTAATTATTACATAATATAAATTCGTAATTCAACTTTAGACGAAAGACGATTATCATTATCTTTGAAACGAAATACATTAATTAAAAGAAATTGTATCGAGACATCGAAGTGGGTTTGTGCCCAACGCATTGGCAGTCTTCCCGCGTCTTGGTGGCCATTGAAGAACACGTGGCATAAGTAGCTTTCTTTACCTGAAAATTGGCTTTTGCAGCTTCATATAACGTTGGCCGCTTCACTTGTTGCACCGCTTTTGTCTTTTGAAGCTCCATTGACGATACTTTTAATTAAATTTAATTCTCACAAATATATCCCACATTATAATTCATAGTTTTTGCTTCCTTCCTTTAAATCACCATAATCTCATTTCTCAATCTCTCAACATTCAGAAATTGTTCTAGTTTTATTCAACTTGGAGATGACGATGATGATGAAGACCCCAACTTCTGTAAGTCCCTCTTTGCAATAGCTCTCTTAAAGTTTATGGAGTTCCGGTTCCGTAGTATGATATTCAATTTCTTCCTGCAGTAAATTTTGGACCCTCGTTTTCTCCTTCTGCACTTTTGATTTTCTTGATCTTCCTTTGGTTTACTCAAGTCCAGGTTTTTTTTCATATTCTTTGTACTGAAGCAGCAGAATTTGGTTTTTGAATTGGTTTATGTGCCTTTTTTTTTACACAAAGATTATGTGGCTTTTTAATGTCTCATCTTAACAGCAGCAGAATGATGAATGCCTACCCTTTTGAATTTTAATTATTTTGGTTTGTATTGTTCTTGTTATTTCATCTTGCATTCAGATATCTCACAAGGACCCAACGAGAAGGAGGTTCTTTAGTTGCAGTTTCCTTTCTACCATTGCTATGCTTTCTGCGGTTCTCTTCTTTGGGAGCCAATTTGTTGTCACTGGTTATAAAGAGCCAATTTGTTTTAACTAAACATTTTAAAAACGTGGATATGTTGTTCATGGAGGGCTTCAAGTTAAGGGATCCTTTTTTTTTATAAAAATGAGAATAACTTGTGGGCCCACACCCTATTGAAGTTTAGTGATCCGAACCGTCTGTTTTTCAAATTTTATCCCATTGATTATCCTTGCAAAATATTAGTCAAATCGAAAATATTTGAGACTTCTAATTGAATTCAAAGAAATCGGAATTCAAGTTTCACTCCTTTTGTTTTAGAACTCAAAGTGATCATCGACAAACTTATTGGTCGTTGCAGTTGGATTAAAGCAAAAGGAAAGTGAACAAGATTGTAAAGAAGGTAAAGGAAAACACAATTGTTTCTCATCCCGTTGTTTAGTTTCTTTTTATCTTCAAATGCAAGCAGCAGCCGTTTCATCTCAATTTGAACCGTATATCATGTCATCCCTTTTTGTAGGTTGGAGTTTGATTTGGCCATGCTGAGCAGTGATCTTAAAACAGCTCTTCAGTGCCTTCTTACAATGAGCAACAGCAGGGATATAGGGAAGAGAATACATCATTTGATTTGAAGGACATTCCTATAGTCTAAAGTTGGGATTTCAATTGCACTACTCATCTTGCCTAAATTTTCCCCAACCATTGGATGTGGTCTTACTGTTGAAAGGGATGGTACTTTCCCGCCAAGCAATGCCAAGTGCTGGCTGCAATAAGGGCATACTAAACCACTGCTATGTCATCCACCGCGGGCATCAACCCCAGATGGGGGAAGAAGCTCGATCCTGGATTCAGGAAAAGGCGGGACAAGAGGGTGAGACGAGCATGAAGAGTCGCTTTCGCTTAAGTCCCAAATTGACCAGAGCGGTGAATAAAGTTGGAATCATTTCATTCACTCAGCTAAAAACTCTCTTTGAGGGGAGGGGATGGGTGATGACATGACTTCCAAATCCCACTTGTTTTTAAAAAGAACACACATTCCAGAGGAAATGAGATGCTGAAAAAGCATCTGATAAAAGAACAAATATCGAGGACCAATTTTCAGAATATACATAAAATCCAAGTAAAAATAGTGCATATTGTTATACTAAATTTCGGTTTAAACTCAAAAGGATGTTTGACACCCCACCTCCCAAACCATCAGGTTTCGCATATAATGTCCATGCTGGGAGAGTGATCTGTTTCAATAATAAAAGCCGGCCTTCATAACGGCAGATCCCAGTTTTAATATGAGCTTGAATGAGATGCTAAACTAGAAAGGCTGATCCAAATGTGTAGAATATGCCAGGGATCCCTTCGAATGTTAACAGTATACGTGATGAAGCACAAATGTAAAATCAAATTCTCTTTAAGAGTTACAAGCTGGTTGAAGCAGACGTACCTAGGAAACACTTACTCGGTCTTCAGATTCAACTCCTGGTGATCATTCAAGCACTTCGGAATTACTCTGAACAATATTTAACCGTTAAGTGTGAATCAATTCCTGGTGTCAGACTTTGACTCTTGTTAACAATAAAAGCAAGCACATTAAACAGAATAGGTAGAGCAGTAACCACCTAGACGGTAGCAATGCAAGCACACAAACAGAACAGGTAAAGCAGTAACAACCTAAACAGTAGCAAACTATCTTCTATAACGTACACCATTCGCATGGTAAGCAGACACAGAACAAATTTTTCTACCATAGAAGTTCAGCTTTAAAAGCTCAGCATGGATATAGTGCTTCCAATTTACAAGAAAAATCATTAATAGGCCTTTACATCTTAACGAATAAAAAACCTATAACTGAAACTCCATCAACAAGAAATCTATTAGTCCCTTTAGAGATAAACGGAAGCAAATAGGTGAAAATAGAAGCACGTGTCCTCCACTGCAAACACATGAAAAGAATAGCGAAGATATCATCAGAGTGACGGAATAGAAAGCGAGGGTTGGGGAAGGAAAACGTTTTCACATCGAGATTCCACGAAAACAAGAACACAAGTTTTCATAAATCTAAACATGTTGACGATAGCATAAAATTAAGGCTAAGCATCACCAGAGATGTTTGAAATTTATGCTTAGACACGTCTGTAAATGAGTTTCCTAGAATGTTCCCTTCAACAACGCAAACAATAAAAAAGGAGTTCCCAAGTGAAGAATTGTACTTGGGAACTGGTTGACAAACCATTATTGATTTTAAATGGGTTTTACAAAACAAAGTTGAGTTTAGATGGTTCTATACAGAAGAATAAGACAAGGTTCGTAGCAAAGGGGTATTTCCAGAAGCCTGGAGTGGATTTTAATGAGATTGGTTTAAATGGGTTTTACAAAACAAAGTTGAGTTTAGATGGTTCTGTACAGAAGAATAAGACAAGGTTAGTAGCAAAAGGGTATTTCCAGAAGCCTGGAGTGGATTTTAATGAGACATTTGCTCCAGTTGCAAAACTTGACACCATAAGAACACTGAAGCTCTAGCTGCACAAAGAGGTTCAAAGCAATTGGATGTGAAGTCTGCATTTCTCAATGGAGTGTTCCATGAAGAGGTATACGTTGATCAAACTCTTGGATTTGTGATTGAAGGCAAGGAAGACAAGATTTGCAAACTCAAGAAAGCACTATATTGTTTGAAGCAAGCCTGTAGAGCTTGGTATGAAGAAAGCAAGCCCGTAAAGCTTGGTATGCAGAAATTGATTCATATTTTTCTCAAAAGCTGGGTTTCACAGAAGTCTTAGTGAAGCCACATTGTATACGAAGACAACTGAGGCAGGTATTCTCATTCTCTTTGTATGTGGCTGGATGATATCATTTACACTAGGAGTTCAAATGAGTTGATTTCAGAATTTAAAAGTGAAATGATGAAGCAATATGAGATGACAGACAAGGGATTATTACATCACTTCTTGGGTCTTGGGGTAGTTCAAACTAAGAGTTGCATTTTCTTACATCTGAAGAAATATGCAAAGGCTCTATTGGATAAATTGGGACGTATTGCAAACTAGTTGCAACTCCACTTGCTATGAATGAAAAATTGTCTAAAGTGGATGGAAGTGAAATGGCTGATGAAAGTTTGTAAAGGAAGATTGTTGGGAGTTTCTTGTATCTGACTGCTACTAGACCAAACATTATGTTTGCAGCAAGCCTACTTGTTAGGTTCATGCACTATCCTACCAGGAAGCACATGGGAATTGCTAAGAGGGTAATACGAAAATATACCCAAGGCACCTTGGAGTATGGAATTGCATATGAAAAGGGGAAGAATGTTGTGCTTATTGGGTATTATGGCAGTGACTGAGCTGGAAGTGAGGATGATATGAGCACTTCTGGATATGACTTTAGCCTAGGATTTGGAGTGTTTTCTTGGGCATTAATCAAGCAAAACAGTGTATCATTGTCAATTGCAGAGGCTGAATATGTGAGTGCAGCTGAAGCTACTCAACAAGCAATCGGGTTAAGGTTTGTTCTCACAGATTTTGGTGAAACATGTTGAACCAACTCAAATTTTGTGAGATAATACCTCTGCCGTTGCTATATCCAAGAATCCTATACGTCATCATAAAACCATACATATCAATAGAAGATTTCACTTCATCAAAGATGCATTGCATGAAGGGGAAATTGATTTGGCGTAATGCAAACACAAAAGCATGGGAAAGAATCGATTTAAGTATTTGAGGAAGGCTTTGAGAGTGATTTCTGCAAACCACCTGAAAAGGAGTGTTGAATTATAAGTGAATTTGCAAAAATATGCTCCAAGTGTGCTGTGGAGATGTAATTTCATTAAGTGATAGAGTATGACACTTGTAACTATCTCATAGTGTAGATTACGTGAATGGTTAAGATGAGTTGATGATGTAAGAGAGATGCTCTCTCTCCTATGTGCAATGGTAATATTCCCCCCACATGAGTGGTGCTCATCTAAAACATAACACTCCAACAACTTTACCTCTCCCTTGCAACTACTAGAGTTTTAGTAGAAATATTAGATAACCGGTGAAAGACATTTGGATGAGGACTTAAAGTTGCATGGATTTTAAGCTTAATTTGGAAGGAATGCACTACAAAATATAGATAGAGGTACTTAAAAATGACAATGCAATACATTCGATAGGAAAAGTGTTTACGTAGTGCATTTGTAATGTTTAAGTAGTAGTTTTGTAGTGCTTAAGCAGATGGAGTTGTAGTGTTCCTATAATGCATTTTTAACAATTGAGTCTAGAGTTTCATGATATTTTAGGGTCCCCTCATCCACACTATAACAAGGACACAAAATTAACAATATCAAAAACACGAGTCCATAAAATGAAAGTTAGATAATGGAAAATTTCAGGAAAAAAAAATGCATGGTGTTATAACAAGCAATCCAAATATATACCTGTTTTTTTTTTGGTGAGAAGACTTGTGGGTTCAAGCAACAGAAAAGACTTAAGCACCTCATCTTACATAGTCTGCTACGCCTGAAGTTTGAGAAATAAGAGTTTTTTCATCCTTCATAAGGAAAATAGTACAAAAACGTCAAAAATAGGCAAAAAACTACAACCAACTCACTTACAACCAAGGTAACACCAACAGCTGCAAAATCGCATCTCCAACCTTCACTCTCACACCGCCCATACCAAAATTAGCTTTGTATACATTGCCAATTTGCCATTGTCACGGCTATTGCATTAGCAATGTTGCTCTTCATTCTTAAGTCTTCCACTTATTATTAGTAGATAAAAGGAGTACTCATATCTTTTGCTTCCGTATCCAGTAATGGACTCATTCAATCATATTAACAACAAAATCATGCCCAGTCCATATGCACATGTTTTTTTGGTTTACTTGATAGCATTACAGTTTACCATTCAATTTAACGATAAAAGGGTGAGAAAATGGTAAAAATACTGGTATGAGCTGGAACAAATAAGGGGAATGGAATACTCATGAACCCAACTCCAGCCATATTCATCCTTTCCTACATTACACAAGTAGTAAAAGTAAAAAGAATAAAATAAGCACCACCAAAATCAAATTCTGAATCCCAAATAGCTAACCAAACTGAAAGTATTGCTCAATCAGAAAATTTCATTTATTTATCATCATGTACATCAAGAGCATCTAACAACTTTTAGCCTAATTCTAATAAAGTGTAACAATTTATATACCCATTAACCAATTACATTACGACCACATACCAAGCATGACTGACAAAAATGATTTACGCATTACTGCATTGCAATTACATTAGATTTTCCGAATGTTGAATAATTTTAAAGGGAAACAACACATACTTCAAGTAAAAACAAGTCATAAATATATGAATTCAATCTGCTATTAGAGATAAGCATCACGTGCTAGTCGAAAGTTCAGTATAAAACAAAATATAGAGGATCTATTTCATCCTCTGTGAGAAAGAAACTGCAAGAACAAGTTAGACTTAAGATACAATCTCAATGCAATATGAAACCACTGTCAATCCACTTACCAGTAAAACACAATCTACTAGCTGGCAAACCACATCTCACCATCACTGTAAACCCTACAAATACCAAGTTAGCATTGCCAAAATACGATCTGTTCATTGAGTTCACCATCACCACTGGTATATATAGCATCAGCAACCCTGCAATTTCATGCTTAGATCACCCATTTATTTGTCCCTCTTTAATATTTCAATCCACTAATCACATTTCTTCTCTGAAAATTTGACAAGAAAATGGATACCTCACAAATATACAAATACAGTGCCGTTGTTGAATTATCTTCCCTTACATGAAATTACATCTCCATCGCAGATAGTGAAATAACAATATAACATGAGTCCAAAAATCCGAAACTCTTAAAATGAAACAATGGTATCTAAAAGTGTTTTCTGATTAATCTAATCACTTCAAATTTTGATTTCTTGGATACAGATTACAGATTAACGTTATTTCACAGTTTTCATTAATATGACAACAAAATAACTCAATGCCTATATATGGCACATAAACGAAGAAATACACAAGCAAAATAGTAAAGCAAAATATGTTGGGAGTAATATATAAACGCAGGAACAAAGAACAATAAGAGATTATCTGGCCATGCAACCACAATGACGATCTTGATCATGCCACTGTGGCCTTTTGGTTCCTCGACGATCCCATGGCACAATGGCCATAGCTTCTGCTTTGTTATATACATTTTTCTCTATTTTTATGAATCTACATACAAAAGAGAAAATTGAATAAAACTAAATGCTGAGAATGTTTATATACTATGAAAGTTCGAAAAGCACAACAATGAGTGCAAAGAAAAAAAGTATCCAAATTTGCCCTATCCCATATGCAAAATAGACCCTTTTCTTTGCTTTTATGTTTAATAAATTTATGTTTTTAAATTAGAAAATAAAATATCTAATAAAATAAAAAGAAAAAATTTTAAATTATTTTAGGAAGTGTTAGAAACATAGTAATGGATGCAAATTGAACAAATCTTCAACTTCTACTTTCTCATATATGAAAACCACCCTTCTTTTCAAATAAAACAAACCTTCAACTTATAGATTCTCATTAGAATCTAACTTGATTATCTTTTTCGCTTCTCATATGTGTAAAGAACATGTTATGGTCTTTGGGCGGAATTATCATTAAAACAAGGAGGCAAATCAGCCAAGATTGCCAAGATCAATAATTAGTAAATTTCACTAAATTTTTCAACATCTGCAATAGGCAAAACACAACTAGCACTCATCATGATCAGCACAAATCTTTTCAACCCCATCCTAAGTCCCCACTAAGCAAACTTTTTTTAATACATTTGATATTAACCTAAAGGGGTGAGGGAGTGGGCTAAACCTCACAATGTGCTAGCCATAATAATTTGGTTCGAACTCGCCTTTAGCAACAATTAAACCTAAGACCTTTCACTTACAAGTAAAAGGAATACCACTAGATGGTAGCACAAAGTGGATCGCCACTAAACAAACTTAATAATTGGTTGAGGTAAATGATTAATTGATATGCTACGGATGAATATTGAAGTTCCGTATATTATGTTTTACCGATAGCTTTTTGTTTTGTCAAAATGTTTTAACAATTGTTGAATGAGCACATTATTTTGGATCTCAAACATGGGACTCAATAAGTTCACAAAAACTGATTCCACAAAAAAATTTACAACAAATTGAAGTAAAAACAAGTAATATATATATCATATCATATGGGGCATGTATAGTTAGAGATCAAAATCACCTGCAAATTAATATCATATGCCAAAGATAGAGCAGGTGGACCGAATGACAACAAGAGAGAGCACGCCCGTAAACAACCATGATCCTTTCATGTGTGATGACAAGCGTGCTCTCTCTCGTTGTCACACAACATCAAACCATAGCTCAAATTAGACATCAGTAGCTACGGAAAAGAGCAGTTTATAATGTTCTAACAACCACAACAATTGTCAAGGAATCTTCCACATGCGATCAAATTTCCACACATAAATTGGGGGGAAAATAAAGGGTGAGAAATTAAAATGAACTTTATACACACAAACTTTATACATGCATACATATATATAAAATACTAACCAATATCTGATATCCCCAATAACACCAACTGACCTAGATTGTTAGCACAGAAAATACAGACCTAGTACAGTAGTATCATGATCGACTCCAAAGAAGTCTGACATATACCGGAACTATGGTGCTTGGTTGAAAAATTATCAAGTATGACTAGAGAATATCTAGGACCTACCCTATAATTACAGATCAAGAATGATCTTTTAGGGACACATAGAACATGAAATTAAGAAGTAAGAACACAACATAACATGCAAAATACTATCAGAAACATCTAGAGATTTCTAAGAAAACTATCTACAACCAGAAACCATCTAATTTTCAATGGAAATTAAACTGCTACCCAAGAGGTAGAAAATATTCATCATAAATTATACAACACCGAATAAAATGTACAAAAGCTTTGAGAAATTAATGGAAAAATCTAAAACTAGTTCTTGTGAGCATGGATCATCTCCATCTTGAAAACAAAGTAAATTCCATGAAATCTAGTACCAAAAATATAAGCTTAAGTCTAATGCTAAATTAATTTTTCAAAATGCTTTGAAAGTCAATCTTACACTTCAGGCCATAATTTTTTTGCATAAAAAGGGTTAAGAAAATAGTCAAAATACAAACTTTTAACCTTAATTCTTACAAATTGGGACTGATGTACTGATGTACAGAAAAAGGATAAATCTTTCACGCAGATGTTCCTGGAACATGTAAGCTGAGCTGAATCTAATATTTAATAATTCAAATTTTTTTTTTCCAATTGTTTCTTAACTATGTTTTGGTGCATGAATAAGTTCTTAATTCTGAAGTCAGAAACACAAGAACAACAGCAACAAAAACCCAGAAGAAAACAACCGTATAAAAACTCAAACTTGAGCACATGAAAACACAAAAAGAATTCAAGCATGCAATTAAAAAACCCTAGGCATCGATTGCCAAAGCGAAACCCTACAAACTAAACAACCACCAAGCCAAAAAATAAGAACATAAATAAATAAAATAGTAACATGCAAAGGAAAGAAAACCCACTTTCAGATAAAGAAGCTGCAAAAACCAGTGAGAGAGAGAGAGAGAGAGTTCCTGAGAAAGAAGAACTAGAGAGCCACTTAAAAGCAAAGACACCGCATCCAAAAATAAAAAGGAAGAAATAGTTTTAAAAAATAAAGAAAAAAATTGGATTTCTCGAGACGACCAGGAGTTAATAACTTATAACTTATTATCAATCATATACAGATTCCACTAGACAAAGTCCACATGTATGTTACGTGGATCAACTTTTAGATCATATTTATATTTCATATAATGTGTCATTGAGAATAAATATGTTAATTAATGTTTAAGTAAGAATTTAATATTAACAATTATATTATATAATTTACAAAATATAATTTAAACTAATAGTGTCACTTAGTACTACGATCTAGTGATATTTATTTTCATTTGTACGTGAGAGGTTTTAAATTCGATTTTCACCAAAAGCAAATTTGAATTTCATTATTATTAATCTATTGTAAAGCTATCTCCTCACCTATGTCGTATTGATGATATTATTTGTTAAAGAATAGTTTAAATTGGTGGTGTTATTAGTATTAGCGTCTATACAAAATTAAGAAGAGAAAACCAGAAAGAATATCAATGGACACACAGAGATATTGGACAACTAAAAACAAATAAATTATATTAAACGAAAGAATTACGGCTTATTTTATAGTATTAAGTACTATATATCATGATTATGGTTATGGATTTAGAGAGGGTACCATAATTTAAGTAAAAAGTAAGAAAAAATGTCCCCTCTTTTGTTTGATTAATAAGAAAACGTATTTTTTTTTTAACAAACGATATTCTCTACATAAAGGGAAGATGGAAGCTTAGTCTCATAATGGACTAGTAATAATATGGTTTAAATTTACCTTTGGTGAGAATCGAACATAAGACCTCTCACTTACAAGTGTAGAGGAATACCATTTTAGTTTGAGGAGTCCATCACTAGTCCTACGGCACGGTTAGAAACTGAACACGTGTATATCTGTCCCAAAGAATCTATGATGGAAAAGGATCCTTGCATGGGGATCATAGGATCCTATGATCCTGATCGTTCATTATACATCGTGCAGTCAGAAATTATTTTAAAATTTAAAATTTTATATTAAATATGAATAGTACCTAACGAAAACTAATCTCACGATATAAGATGAAAAGTCACGATATAAGATGAAAAGTCACGATCACAGAATCTCTAGAATCTCAAAAAAAAAGGATCCAACAAGGATCCTTTTCCATCTATGATTAGCATTAAACTTTATAAACGATAAAAGGTTCAAGCTAGGGCAACCAAATTTAGGAGAAATCTTCTACCAAAAAATAAAATTAAGGAGAAATCTTTTCTTGCAACTCAGTCATTATAGACGAGAATACTCGACTTCAATAAAAATTTACTATGTGGTGAATTGATGTTTTCTTTAAATATAGGGAGTTTATTGTAGACGAGCAATTTACATGATATAAATATGCGTTTTCAATCAATGATAAAATTTTATGTATAAATTCTTGGATCATTGATGCTAGAAGACACATTGACAGTGTTAGCACACTACGAAACAGAAAACAACTTATATAAATTCGTGTCATCACAGCAACGCATACCAAAATATATTATCATATGAAAAAAATCCTACCGTAACAATATATTATTAAATCAAAATCCAACATAACAATAAACTCTTCCGATGTAAGTCATTTTCCATGAAAACCCTTATGCACTGTAGTATGTATCATCGACTCCGCTGCAACCAGGTTTAGCATTGTAGGATGTATGTCATTTTCCATTTTCCATTTTCCATTGTTAGGTTACCTGCAGTCAGGCATACTGGAAGCGCGTGAAACAAACGACTCAAGAAGGAAGGGAAAGTTGGTGTGGTGGTGGGGCTAATTGGGTGATGATGGCGCATGTTACAGTGTGTGTGTGGTGTTTTGATCAAATTTAATGGCTGGATGGTTCGTCCTTGTGTCGGATGCCGTGTCTTTTTCTTGAGAGATGTTTTACTGCAACCTGTACATAGAATGATAAGTATCATTATATAAATGATATCATATGTGTTTTAAAAATTTAATAATTTAAAAAATAATATTTCTCATTATTTTCATAAAAACATATAATATATCTCTTGTATTCTGATCATAATGAAAATTTTCTGCTTTTTCTTCATGGTGCTCGAGAATCACTGTAATTTGCTAACGCCTAAAAGTGTCCTTTGTCCTTGGAGCACCCCTCTCCGGGCCTCCCCTGAGACTTGAGAAAGGCCTTGACCAGCAATATTAGTGTTGCCTGTTACATCATACGTGCTGTACAACTTCCTACCCTATTCATCAACTATAGGATAAGGTTGCAGGCGAGGACAATTGATGCCTCGCACCTTTTGATGTATGTTGATTTTTGTGTCGAGGGTCAATTGTCGATAAGGTTACAAGCCCTCTCTACTTGAAGAAAAATGATCCCGTTGGATTTTTTTTTGAAATCTTAAAAATCTTATAATCGTATTGTAAATTTTCATTAGGTATTATTTATATTTAATTTTAAAATTTAAATTTTAAAATAATTTATAATCACACAATGTATAATAAACGATTCTAATCATGAAATTTCTAAAATCCATAAAAAAAAAAAAAAAATCCAACAAGAATCTTTTGCCCTTTAGTTAGTGGTTACCTGTTGATTGATGTATGTGGATTTTATAATATAATAATAATGACCTAGGGTCATCTGTCGATAAAGTTGTAGGCCTATCTTTATTTTGGTTAGTGGTTATGGATTTCACAACGTAGAAACAACTTCAAAGAGTCACCCACACAATTGTCTCAGTGTAATGTCAAACAAAGGTTTTTCTTACATAGGACTTTGGGTTGTTAAAGACTAAGATTTTGAGTGTAGAATGGAAGAGTATACAATTTTTTATTTTATCACCGGATATAACAAGATATTATAGTAAGAAAATATCTCGGAATAAGTAAGATTCATCAATAGACTCTTAACCTCTCTTTTTATATCTAATTGATTTATGTTCATTCTAGGGTAATAAGATAGTTGGTGGTGATGTCGACAATAGAGAATCTTTCAACGTACCACTTAATTAAATCTGAATCCTATCTTTACTATCCTCACATGAGAGTGTTTATTCACATTCAGGAAACTCTAAAATAGCTCATCTTTTATAATCAAAACTCATACACATAGTAAGAACATAAAAGTTGTGTGTGAGAAAACGAGAACAAGAAAGTTACCATTAAATTCTTAGTCCGTACATAAAATAATTCTAGCTACATGTCACATCATATAAATCAATTGTTATTTTCATTAAATTTAACTATTACATTATATAGGCTTTTAATTCAACTTTAAAGAAAATACGATTATCATACATCTCAGATCAACTACGAAAGTGTTGATATCAACTCTCATTATATAAATTTTGAGATACATACCACAATCATTACTTATAAGACATTGTACCGAGACATCGAAGTGGGCTTGTGCCCAACGCATTAGGCGGACATGTGGGATCAGTAGCTCTGTTTATTTGAAAATTGGCTTTTGCAGCTTAAAGTATCGTAGGCCGCTTCACTTGGTGCACTGCTTTTGAAGCCCGTTGACAAAACTTAAATTTAATTCGCACAAATATATCTCACATCATAATTCATAATTTTTGCTTCCTTTCTTGCAATAACCATAATGTCATTTCTCAATCTCTCAACATTCAGAAATTGTTCTGGTTTTATTCAACTTCTGTAAGCCCCTCTTTGCAATAGCTCTCTTCGATTTCATAGCATGATATTCACCTTCTTCCTGCAGTGATTTTCGCACTGTTGTTTTCTCCTTTTGCGGTGATTTTCCCTTGGTTTACTCAAGTCCAGTTTTTCACATTCTTTGTATGATGCAGCAGAATTTGGTTTTTGAATTGGTTTATGTGGCTTTTTCTTAACACAAAGTTTATGTGGCTTTTTAATGTCCAATCTTAATAGCAGAGAATGATGAATGCATACCCTTTTGAATTGTAATTATTTTGGTTTATATTTGTTTTTGTTATTTCCTCTTGCATTCAGATTTCTCACAAGGACCCAACAAGAAGGAGCTTCTTTAGTTGCAGTTTCCTTTCTACCATTGCCATGCTTTCTGCAGTTCTCTTCTTTCGGAGCCAGTTTGTTGTCACTGATTAAGAGGTACTATTCACCATACTTGTATATTAACTGAACTTTTTAAAAACGTGGATATGTTGTTCATATTATTGATATTGTTGATACTTCGACCTACAGTTGCTAATATAGTTGACTACATTTTGATATAGTCAAGATATCATCGACAAACTTAATTGACTACATTTTGCAAAAAGTGCTGTTAAACTCACGGCATGAAGACTATATGTATATGTTTTCCTTGGCATATTTAGTACCAATTAGACATTTCATTCACAGAAGTTTTTAGCATAAGGATCAGTTAATGCTATGCAACATACAATTTCGAAAAGTTGCCAGGTTTTCTTAATTATAATTTGTAGTTGTGATTGATGTTCTCCTGCATGTTTGGGCTCAATGCAGGCCTGAAGGAACTGAAGCACTACCTAAAGGAATGGTTTCCAAGAACTTTGACTTGCTAATGCAACCCTTTATGAGGTCCCTAATACAAAAAGGTAAGCCGTTGTTTCTGTGTTGATTGTAGCGATAATCTTAAATTTTGATTAGGCAGCTCGAAGGATATTTAATTAGGGTTGTAAGAAATCGGATTTTAATGCTGATATATGTTCTGTACTCCTTTTGTTTTAGAACTCAAAGTCATCAACAAACTTACTGGCCATTGCAGTTGAATTAAAGCAAAAGAAAAGTGTGAACAAGATTGTAAAGAAGGTAACCAAAGGAGAACACAATTGTTTCTCATCCAGTTGTTTAGTTTCTTTGTATCTTCAAATTCATGGACTTGGTTTCTCATTGTTATTCGATTTCTCAGTTCCCATCAAGTCATTTTGTTGTGGTGCTTTTTTTCATTAAGCGGTCATGTAAACGAGTGGAGGGATTAGGAATGGAGTGGTGGGGCTATACATGTGTCTGCTATGAATCAAACTAGTGGTAACTGCCCCTAGCCCTAATTTTTATTGAGATTCGCACATGTAAATTTTCCTAGTAAATTCTAGTAACCTGGTTTGGTTTCCTTTTTAACATCTTCCTCTGGGACGAGGACCTGGGAATCGAAAATTTCAATGCTGGAAGGTACTCCCCTCAATTCATACATTTTTCGTGCATTTATGTAAAACCATTGCATCCTGATATTGTTTCAGTATGTATTCATCTTGAAAAGAGGGGCTTGAGATATCACAGCCAGCACTTGATCCTCACAACTCCGAGGTGCGTCATCTTCTTACGGCGAGAGACAACAGAACAGAAGTACACAGGTATTCTGTCTAAAATAAGGAGACTAATATAGAACCTAATTTGAAATTTGGTAGCAGACTCTAATGATTCTTTCTCAGTAAATTCTTCACAATTTGCTCCGATCTTACGTGCTCTGTCTTTCCTAATTTTCTCCACTGTTTTGGTTGGTGGTGCATTAACAGGAACATAAACAAGACACTTTGCGGTGGAAGGAAGTGTGATGAAAACAACACGGATCCTTCATGCACAGGGTACAAAATTTTCATATACAAATACACAGACACGTATAGTTTACTCACGCGTGCATCAATCCATGGATGCGTGCATGCGTGTTACAGATATAGGTCCGTGTATCCTGCACGTCTTAATTACACGTATGGCAGGTTTGTAGAAATGATGGCTCCTGTTAATTCAAGAGCATCCTGGCGCTGCATACGGCATATTATTCAGGTACGGCGAGGTTTAAGTCTTCTTCATTGCTTAATGATAAGATTAGCTTCGGGTTTTAACATGTATTATAAAAAAAGGATGAGATAAATAAGAAACTAAACCTTAATATAATCTGGTTTTGGTTAATGGATAAGAGTTATAACAGTTAATTATCTCATTTGTGACTTTTTTTTCCTTGATAAACAGAATGACTCAGTTCATGCTTGGGTTTTGGGTTTTGGGTTTCCAGCTGGGTTATTGTGCACAGACAATTTCTCCATCTTGTAAATTACATTTTTCTTACTGTTTTTCGCCTGTTCTCTTGTACAAATTTCGTACGTCTGAAGCAATCCTTTACAGGGCGATTGAACCAAAAATATTGGAATTGTTGATTCTGAGTACATTATTCATTAGGTATTCCTTCACTACGGGGCTTGGCGGCAAACAAGGTCGGAAACTTCATACAACTCCCTCTCTATCCCTGCACAACTCTATGTTGTTAAGTTGTATAATTTGTATGATCAGTTTATCACTCACTAATGGCCACAGTCGCCAATGCAGACAATTGCAGAAGCACATGATCAACCTGCTCACAATATAAGCTTGCCTAGTTCAGAACAACTGGTATCTGACCCTAGACCCGAGGTAAGAACTCTAATGAAGTAAAATGTAAGCACAAATATTTCTCCTAGCCCAAAGCTTGTACCGTGAACTTAGGAATGCTTAGACCTCATCGTTCTTGCATCTATTATTCAGGTGAGGAAGCTATCCTTAGTTGAATTGGAAAAATTTCATGAACAGATTGAAAAAGGCAATCAGAGAAGATGACTGCTGGATTGTTCCATACCAAAAGAACACCACAGCAAAGCAAAAACACAAAGAGATTGATTTCCTAACCAATCACAGCATCCAAAAACTGGATTTCATTAAAAAGCAGACCATGAAAAGCAGTTTCCCAAAAAGCACCAGTTTTCAAGACTGTATAGTATTCATTCCGAAACACACAATGTCATGCTGTTACAGTTATATCAGAACGAGAACAATTTTCATTATTTGTTCCAAGCATACACGTGGATTTGTGGATCTTCTAATTAATATCACAATTTGTAGCATTCAATTGGTAAAATTTATAAATTATCTCAGTTATCTATATATTAACATAAGAAACATGGAGATCGATTTACCCTTTAATTCTCCCAGGTAAGCAATGATAAAAGTATTAAAGACCGAACCGGCTTCTTCTGATAATCCCCTTAAGGACCTCCCCAAGTTCTTCGCCGCGATCCTCCTGCACATGATGGCCTGCCTGAAAATCCCCGATAAACAGATTACGTGAGTCCTCAAAATAAAAACCTCAGACAATCGAACAAGGTTAACTTAGAATCATCAATCTGTTAAACAATGCATATATTTTATGTGTGGGCGTAAAGCTAAAACTTGTCCTTCATATGTGCATAGAAGAGGAAGGTACCATGGGAATTTCAATAAGCTTATGTTTAGAATCCTTGCAGAATTCTTCAACACCGTCAAAACTCAACCACCGGTCTCTTTTGCCCCAACAAACTGTTGTCGGAACTTTCCAGTTTTCATCTGTTAGTATCGTCTTCATTTCCCCTACATACTTCTGCCAAAAAAAACAGCATAAGATACTGCATTAGCAGCGTAATAACCCAGTTTTATGAAAAATTGATTATTCTTTCGGCCAAACTATAATACAAATCGGGGGCCTTGGGCAGAAGCCAGCACCTGCACCCCCTCACAGCCAGCCTTGCATGTTTAATTACCGGGATAGAAAACTGGACGGAATGTAGTTAAACAGGATGGTAGGGAGGTAATTGAGCGTTTATACTAGTATAGGGGGAACATGGACAGTGGAATACAAATACAGGCTGAAAATCAGTGAAATACTTTAAGAGTAAAATTTGATAGGGTTCACCTTCAGCTCTTTCTTCATGGCCCTGCTGATTGCGTTTAATGCGAAACCGGAGGCACCGGATGTGAGGTAAGGATTTCTGTAGACCATTGCATCATCCTCTTTCATTTTATAAGGTCCTGAACTTTCCAAGGCTTTATCACTTGCCCTCAGAGGATCCTAGTTGATCACCACACAAAGAATGTTAACGAACATGTTTAGAGTATGGAACCAATATTATCTTTTCCTCGGCAACCAAACAGAAAATGCACAATGTCATACCTGAGAAAATATTTCACCTAACAAAAAGTTGCTGAAAATGGACAAGGTTGATGGCAGGTTGGCATGCTTCTCTGTTAGCTTTAATAGAAAGAAAAGACAACATTTATCAACCTGAATAAGTTTACAGTGCGAGAATAGACATTAGCATTTAGCAGTAGCGAATTCACGAATTTTTTTCTTCTAGGGATCAATGTGTAAAACTTTTTTGTTACACGAAACTATGTACCCTTAAAAATTAAACGGTACTTTATCATTCATGATTCATGAAAAAAAAAACAACCTTACAGCACTACTATTCTCTGCAACGATTATAATTTCGTTATGATACAAGCAACTGAATGTCTCTTAATCATTGATCTCTATTATTATGTTAGGTATGCGCGCAACTCCCGCAGACGGAAAGTGCCTTGTGGCCACTTTATTGAACAGGTGGTGGGCATTTTTCAGAGATTCAATGGCAAGTCCAAGAGAGCAACTTACATGAAACGGATTCACTGTCACATGACATCATGATTCAATAATATAATGCCATCATTTTTATTACACATGACATTGTACAATTTAAACCAGAACCCTGTGAACCACTTTCATTTTAGTCATTCTCCAAGTGAAGACCTTGAATGGAAATTCTAGGACTCGAACCCCTTTTTCCCAACGTGAACCAGCCCCTGGAGATCAAGGGGTAAGTATTACTTTCCTAATACTAGCAACTCAATAAAGGCAGATCTCAATTTGTTGAAAAACTTGGAGAGCACGGTGGCATTGTTGCTTAGACTGCAAGAAAGGACATAAATATGTTTCTTGGAGATCATGTTTGCATTTTTCAATGTAACTAATGTTCAATGAACTGATCACGTTTAATTGCTGTGACTAATAATACTCATAGTCACAATAGCGCTCTATGTCTCTGCAAGTTTGCAACTAGTCCTCGAGCTTTGTCCCACGGCTTTCAGACACTTTGACGAGATGAATGCTATGTTTGACAAATTAAAGAATGCTGCTAAGAATGTCAATGATTGGATCAGCATGGAGGATTGCTCTGAGAAACGTAATAAGCAGCTCGAGAAGGTGATGTGCGTGACCAAGAGGGAAAAAGTACCGTCTCTCTACATCAATGCACTTGTTTTGCTGGAGGACGTTTTGGCTGAGGCGCTGGAAAATAAGAATGCTAAGAAGAAGATGACTAGCAGCAATGCCAAGGCCTTGAACGTGATGAAACAGAAACTGAAGAAGAACAATAGGTAGTATGAGGACTTGATTAGTTTGTTTAGGGAGAATCCGGTGAAGAGCGAGGAGGATTCGGATGAGTCTTCTGAAACGGATTCTGAAACTTCTTATCGGACAGATGTTGAATCAATGACGGATGAGGAAGATGATGGTCACGAGATGACATGGGATGTGATAAATAAGAAGTTGAAAGAGGTAGTGGCAGCTTGGGAAGGAAGGGAACTGGAAGGTTTGAGCAGGTTGGAGCAGCTTACCTTCTTGACAACAGTTCCTAAAACACCTGCACAAAAGCTTGAGATTCTTTTCCGTCTTGTTTCTGCTCAATTTGATGTCAACCCGGGTCTCAGCAGGCACATGCCTATAAATGTGTGGGAAAAGTGTGTGCGGAACATGCTTGTTCTACTTGATATTCTGGTGCAATATCCAAACATTGTGGTGAACGATATGGCAGAGCCAGATGAGAATGAATCCCAGATGGGATTGGACTACAATGGGACAATCAGGCTTTGGGGAAACTTGGCAGCCTTTGTGAAAAGGATAGACACTGACTACTTCAACAGCTTGCAGTGCGTGGACCCTCACACCAATGAGTACATTGAAAGACTCAGAGATGAACCAATGTTTTTTACCCTTGCTCAAAATGTTCAAGAGTATTTAGAGAGAGTTGGGAATTTCAAAGATGCTGCAAAGGTAGCCCTAAGGCGGGTTGAACACGTATATTATAAACCACAGGAAGTTTATGATTCCATAAGAAGTCTTGCTGATCAGCAGACACAAGATGGTGCAGGCAAGGAGCCTATGGCATTTATTGTAACTCCTCGACTTGTTCCTCGGAAACCCACTTTTACTGAGAGCAGTAGGGCCTTCATGGATATTCTGGTTTGATTTATATATAAGTGTGGAGATGATCGGACTAAAGCACGAGCAATGCTTTGTGACATTTACCACCGTGCTCTCTTGGACGAGTTTTCTACTGTGCACGACTTGTTGCTGATGAGTCACCTGCCAGATTGTATTCAGCATATGGAAATTTCAACCCAAGTATTGTTTAATAGGGCCGTGGCACAACTCGGTCTATGTGCATTTCGGAATGGACTAATCCCTGAAGGACATAGCTGCCTTTCTGATTTATATTTGGGTGGAAGAGTAAGGGAGTTGCTTGGACAAGGTGTCTCGGGAAGTAGATTTCACGAGAAAACTCCAGAACAGGAAAGGCTGGAGAGAAGCTGGCAGATGCCCTACCATATGCACATAAACCTTGAGCTCCTGGAGGCGATTCATTTGATATGTGCCATGCTGCTGGAAGTGCCTAATATCGCAGCTAGGGTCCACGACACAAAGCGCAGAGTGATTAGTAAAACATTCAGGGGGTTGCTTGAATCGCATGAGAAGCGACTGTTCATAGGACCCGCTGAAAATGTCAGGGATCATATAGTGGCAGCTACCAGAGCCCTCAGCGAAGGCGACTTCCAAAAGGCCTTTAATGTCATCAATTCCCTTCTTGTCTGGAAGCTCCTCCGGAATCGTGAGTGTGTTCTTGAGATGCTCAAGGCTAAGATCAAGGAGGCGGTTTTGAGAACCTACCTTTTGACCGACTCACCGTCATACAAGACTTTAAGCTTGGAACAAATCACCAAGATGTTTGAGCTCTCAAAAGCACGGACTCATTGCATTGTTAGCAAAATGATGATCAACAATGAGCTGCGTGCTAGTTGGGATCAGTCGACAAACTGCAGTGTCTTCCATGACTTTGAGCACACAAGGCTGCAAGCCCCAGCATTCCAATTAACTGAGAAGTTGTCAATCCTTGCAGAAAGTAAAGAAAGGGCAGCGGAGTTGAAGATAGGCGGTGGTGGACTAGACCTGCCTTTGAGGCGTGGAGACAGTCAGAACTATGGTGCTGGAGCAGGCAGTATTTCTGTTTAGTTTCCTATTTCGTTTGTTATATTCAGTGATGTTTAAGCCCTCAATTCACTCACCAGAGTCAAGTTCTTGTCACCGAGGTGATGCAGAATATTGAATTAGAGTTATTTTAATTTAGTTTTCTAAGTTGTTTTTTATATTTAGTAAAGTCAGACTTGATGATGAATGAAATTGATCATCGCTTCTTGTGTTATCTCTTACTTCTATGTCTTCTAAAGCCTAAAATCTTTATAAGTCTGTTTCTAATCTTCTTGAGAAATAAGACAGCAATTCTTAAATATGAAAACCTTTGCGAAAACCCCACAATTTGTTCAAAATGATAAAGCATATATCAGTGAAAAAACAAAGAAACCAATGGTGGATTTCGGGAGAGCACATACCGGAGGATTTAAGAGTATTATGTTGTCAATCTTTTCCCGATGACTGCTAGCATATTTAACCACAACCGGCGCAAAGTATCCCTGAGACCCACATCAAAGATCAGAAGTTCTTTTCAATTGCAAACTTCAAATTACATGGTTAAACATTCGCTGGAGAAGCAAAATACCTGGACAACAAGCGTGACCTTGTTAACACTAACTTCGTTTATAAATGACTCCAAGGATGCTACAAACTCTGCAAAACCGTGAAAAAACTTGACAACATAAACAAGAGTAAATTTTGCTTTTATCTGCCTGCCTTCATATGAGATAAGACCAAAAACGATTACCATTCATAGTGTAGTCAAATCCATATTTGGGTTGAGGCTTATCTGAAAATCCAAAACCTGCAATTGAAGGCAGGTGCAGTAATCAACTGATAATGCTTTTCAAGCAAAGCAAAACTAAAATCGCACGTGAGTAGTTTATATTGATAATTTCAACTGCGTTCGGGAATGGATATCAGCTAAACTTGTGATCTTGATTCTTACCAAGCCAATCAAAAGCGATCGCGTGATAGTCCTTCGAAAGTATGGGAAGAACTTTGCGGTAAGAGTATGCCTGATGATTTGAACACATGTATGAATAAACAGAAGAATATTAAGACAGATGGGAACTTGAAAATGGATTTCACAATTAAAACATGCATTTTAACATGCATCAATCGATCATACAGATGCAACAACACAAAGATGGTAGAAGACTTTCCTATTACATTGACAAATTAAGACCGACTCACCTGAGAAGGGAAACCGTGAATCAATATAACTGAAGGATTATCAGCACTTCCGGATTCAACGCAAAACCATCTATGGAACAAAATCATATATAGAGAGAGCATGGTTCAATTGGTAAACCCTGCAAATAATCCAATCTCAAAGTCTGCATTCCACGGAAACATTTAAACAAAAACATTGAACTATCAAATGTCTAAAGATAATTTAAAAGTTCACCTGAAAACATCAGTGGAGGCCTGAGAATCAGCACCCATTGCGAGTCCAAAAATTGGGTCTTTTGCCTTCTCGCCGGAACCAAAAGCAGCATAAGCCTTCACCTGGAAGAAAATCAAAGTTATGGTGGTTTGTAATAAGCTTCAAATGGTTAAATAACAAAAATCATAAGAAATAAAAAATAGTTAAAGACTCACTATCTTCCCTTGCTTAAACCATTCATCCGAAGGGCTCGGTCCATCAGAATACTTTCCTGCCAAAACACCCACATTTCCACTTAACCTTGTAAACAAACAAACACACGAAAAATTTCACTATTAACAAAACGGAATTGTATTAGCACTCTAAAACGGTTATCCTGCACGATGACTTAATTGGAGCACAAATAACAACTCCCTCGAAAAATGCCAGAATTAAGTAAGCACCTCCACTGAAGGAAAACCCATCACCCACTTCAACAGGAGCATCAATGTAATAATCCTGGCAAAGAAAATATATTGACAAATCAATGAAAAAAAAAAAAAAATACAGAAATTAACTTTACAAAAAACTGAAATGAAAGATCAAAGAACGAGTCATTACATCCTGGCCGTTGGATCTACAGGTGAATTTGAGGGTCTTCTTGTGGGATTTAAGATTATTACCAACAAGTGATAGGGACGATGCAGGATTATGGTTGTGAAGTTGATGAGAATAATAACAAAGAGAAGGGGTTTTGGCTTGCGTTGCTGCCATTGCTGCTGCTTGGTGTGGTAGTTTGTGCTTAATCAACTGTGTAAACTGTAATAACGGCAGCAATGGCGGGAGAGGGTGGTTTGGTTTAACTAACTGTTGGTTTTGACATAAACTGAAAAATGGGTGGGACAGGGTTTTTTGAGGATAGACATTTTCTGGTCCTCATCTGCTGTGTAACACCATACACATATTCCCAAAGTCCAAGTTTTTATGTTATGAATTTGGTTGGGATTCTTTAGGAAAGAAAAATTTTACCCTACTCTGAATGCAGTCGACTATTATTGCACTCGAGATTAATAGAATTGTCTAAATTTATTGCTCTTGGCATTAACAATTGTGGGTGGTTTATCTATAGTCATTCTCTATAGTAACAATGTAAACCACAAAATATTACTTGCTAAATAAATTCACTTTAAACCGTATTTTTACGTACAAGCGATACATATAACCCAAAATATCTATAAAACTGTAGAGAGATTTAATCTCAAACGCATATGCAAGACATCTGCTATAAGTCTAACTAATGTGGTTACGCTTATGTCTGCAACTTAAACCATATAGATGGAAATATGTGTACAAATTATGGGTGGAAATTTAGTAAGATTTAGAATCTTTTTCAAGGTTTTAAAGCTAATGAGCATATTCATGCTTTGCTATGCAAAAGCCAATCTTGGGCCAACCATGAAAAACTAAAGCCCAATCCAAACCTTGAACTAAAATTTGTTGGGTTGAACCAATTCCGGACCCGACCCACTTGAACCGCCAAGAGCAAACTGCTCAAAACGGGTTCAGCCTCCACAAGCGCACGGGCAGATTGAGGATCAGAGATGGCGCTTCAGCTTCTCAAGCTCCCAAATCGCACCATAATCTCCCGCCGTTTTGGTAGAGCAACTTCAAGTTTCTCTTTTCTCTTCTCGCAACCCAACTTACAAAAGCTCCCGTTTTTGAGCTCTAACAGTTGAGTATCTCTAATTCTTTAAATTGGATTTGGTGTTCAGCAAGATGGTTCAGCCTCCAAAGAGACGGAGTTAATCTTGTTTTTTCACTCCAACCCAGTCTGTAAATTTTTCTATTCGTGTCGAGTCCCAAGAAACCATGAGATGGACTTACATGTCACGGACTCACGGTACACCGTCCCTCAGTCCCATGTCATTATATTTTGCAAAAATTAGTATTCGATTTCTAATTCCTAGCATTAATGTGATTATGATGAATTTATATGTTTATTACATAATTTTTTAATATAAAAATTATTAATTAATTTAGGATTTAATACTAACATCCCTGTTAAATTCCTAATTAATTTTCAATTCAAACATTTTCAAAATAATAAAAAAATAAAATTAGATTAAGTTTGTACCTATTATTAATATTTTTTTTAATAAAATTCTCAATTTTATAATCTTAAATGTACCCATTCATATAATTTTTTATTTTTTTTAATCTTAAATGTACTTATTCTTAAATATACCAATTTGTTATAGGAAGCTTTAACGAAAAATTCACAGTACTGTTTACTTTAACAAAAAAACCCACATTTTTACACTAAAAAGTCAAACATGGTCCTATTCACTTTACCTTTTATTTTATCTTTATTATTAAAACTCAAAGTTTTCAAGCCATTTTCATTAGTTTTCCTTTTGTTATATGTAAAATGTACCATTTTTTAATATAAAATCCATTCAAAAATTTTAACCTATTTTTACACTTATATGAGTACATTCTTTTTCGTTAATTTGAGAATGCATCCATATCAAGTTTGATCGAAAAAATTTACTAATATTATTAAGCTTGATATCATTTTTTTATTTTGGTTTTGAAGAACGTACCCATGTTTTGGTACAATAACTTTTTTTGTTAATTTTGGTGAATGTACCCATATACATGTGTGTGTGTATATATATATACACACACACAATTTTTAATTTTTAGTTTAAAAAATATAGTAACTTACATTATTACATTAATATCAAGGACTTCGATCAAAAACTAAAAATTAATAAGGTTTCAGTCAAAGAATATTGATAACTAAGGACCGCATACAAAGTGTCCCTTGTATTTTGCGGCACGGGACACCAAGTGGTGGTGTACCATGTCATGTAAGTTGCTCTCTAGAAACCCTTTTCTGTATGACATTGATATTCACCATTGTGTTTGATTAATGGAAATTACAGGAGGAAGATGTTGATGAGTTATGTCAGTAGGGACTACGTAGTTAACTTTGGTTGTTCATGTTTGGCGGTGTAGGAAAGGTGTGTATAGACGGAAAGGTGGTCAACAAAGCAGGGACTCCAGTCTCAGACAAAGCTCTTGCACAGATAATTGCTGAAGTCCCAAAGTATGTATGTAGGTGATCACTTCACTTTGACAAATATCGAGTCGTGCAGCAACTTCAGCGGGACCTCGAGTGCTAATTTGTTCTTATATTGTCTATCCAGAGCAGGATACAAGTTAGAAGCTGCCATTGAACCTCTCTTTCATCTCCATTCCATTGATAAGCTTTCAAAGACTTGTAAATTTATCATCGTTATCTGGTTCTTTGGCTGTTTCGATCTCTCTTTTCTATTTTCTGTTAGGGGAAATTCCGAGGATTTGTTGCTTGTCTAATTCTATATGTTCTCCATGTGCTATTCCCCCATGGAAAAAAAATCTGTTCTAAGACAAGTTGAAAGCTAGGTAGCTTTGTTTCACTATTATGCCTTTGGATTTTACACTTGGCCACGGCTTCTTTTAATTTGGAAGCAGGTCATGCTGCTATGGTCAGTGTGATGGAGGAAGAGGCGACATTGGTCACCCTGGTTAAACCTCAAACCGAAGCTCGCAGATCACAAGTAAGAGTCTTACATCAACCCCGTACTTACCTTTGGAAGCTATTTCGGGTTTATTTTACTAGAAATTAGAAAGTAGAGCAGATATGACAATATAGGGAAGGAGTTACCTTCATTTTCTGGCTTACAACATCAATGCCAATTCAACTGCTATTTGATATTTAAGGAGAACGTTACGAACTGGGAAGACATGAAAAACATTATGCATTTACTTCTGGAAGTTTCCAGAATAATGAGTATTTCCCTTGCATTTGTATGCATCACTAAATACCAATCCCTGCATAAAGCTCAGACAGACTTTGATAGGTCCACACTTCTAAGTTTTCCTTGCTCTTTATTGTGCTCAATGCATGGAACAATGTCACGTTATTTACATATAGTTTGGGTTTGTTTTCTGTGTAAGTTGCGCGTTGGCTTTCAGTACTTTTGAGGGTGGAAACTTAGAAGTTTCTAATTTCAAATGCATGATGATAAGATAAGGGTCGATGCTGTCCAGAAAACATAAAATTGCAAAAGTTTACATTTCGGAAGTTCATTTTCTTTGCAGGTAGGAAGTGGTGGGGTTGCGAGTGATCCATTAGTCCATCAAGAAGTAAGCATTTCTTCCTTGTTTTTATCTGGTATCTTTCAGCTTAATTTCGGAAGTTCACTTCTAGGACAGCCAAGAGAAATGAGGATGAAAAAAATGTTAAATATGACAGAATCTGTTCATTCGCCCGAACTCGCCATTAAGGAGTAGTTCAAAACAGAAGATAGGGTTAGCAACCCCAGTTGTCTTGGGTCTAGACGCTGTTTACTTGAAATCATCAATTAGCTTATTTGAAAAGGCTTTTCGAAAATTGTAAGGATGAGCAAACTACATAATATGATCTGATATTTCGGGTTTATTTCCGGATGACCCAATAATTGTGAGGAAGACGGAGTTCTGCATGATTCATAGATTAGAATTTCTTCTTTCAACTACAACTTTTATGATGATTCAACATTTCAAAGGGGACTCTAATACCAACCACTTGACCTACGACTGAGAGCCAAGACACCAAATATTGTTCAAGTGCTACTCCATTTTTAGCCTGAGAATTATCACCAAGGAAAAGCAGCTTCATCCACTCACTGGTTCCACATGGATGCAGCTTGTACCAAGGTCTGTTCAAGTATGGATGCTCCTACAAACACCATATATGTTCAGATGTTTGATGCAATATTAGCAACTAGAAAGAATGCGTCCCCTTTATATGTTCTAAATTATTCTAATCTATGGGATGTGGATTTGAAGGGCGGACACACTGCCCTGCCCAATTGACCTAACCTGTATATGCATCGTTTATATGAATCTTATAAACGTAAGATTAACTGCACAAACAAGTTTGGCAAGAACAGGAAGCATGGATCCAAAGATGAGGAAAATGTACCTCCTGAGTTATGAATGTCCATTTTGATTCCAGTAAAACCTTTGATGAGCGAGCAGGTAGGTCCTTTTCTATTTCTTCCAATGCCAAAGGCTGTCCATCTATATATCATTCACAAAGGAAAAGTTATGAGGATTAACACTTGCATTTCCTTTACCAGAATTGACCTTGCATTCTTAAGTGATTCATTTATTTTCGTTTAAGTTGAAAAAACAGATTAACATACCGATGTAGTAACCACGAAAATACAGCACGGGAACTCGATATGAATCACTGTATACTATATGAAAATCGTAGTAGCATACTTGAAGATTGCTGGTGTCAACCTTGCAAGTAGGAAATAGCAAAAATGATGAATAAGTGACTGGTACTGACTAATGACGTACAAATGCATTTAGAGACTATACAGATGAGCAATGCTCGGGTTAGGCGCCCACGCTCCCACAATGCACCAATGTATGGTTGATGTCAGTTGGAGCGTGAACGGCTGGTCCTAACAAAATCCTTACAATACGGGTAGCTATATACTCACCAGCGTGGCATTATCAACAGACTCGGGCTCCTCTTCTTCCCAAGCGTGATTTTCTTCATTAGCATCTTCCTAAGACAGATCATTAATCCACAAAGTATGGTTGGTAGAGATCCAAATAACAATCACATCAACGACAAGCAAGTTAAACCAATAAGCCACGTGTCTTACCTTGATTGACCCAAGAAGGCAAATCTTCTCCAACGACAAGTAGCCATGCTGCTGCTGCTGCTGGTGCAGGAGGGAGAGATGAGGAGGCTGTTTGGGAGAGGGAACCCACGTCCATGGAGGAGAGGCGGAGTTAAATTCTTTCCAGTTGTTGGCAAAAGCACGTGCTGCGACGTGGAAGTCACGTGACGAGAGGGCTCCATCCCATCCCAAAACCTCCATAATATCCGCTTGATTTCCTTTCCTTGCAATTGAGAATTCGATCGGGTCTGGAATTCGTTTTAGTCCGTCTTCGCGAGTCGTTGCGATTCGCAAGCAGCGGCAAGGTGGGTCGTCGTCGGGATATTGCAATTGCAGAGTCGCAGGTGGGTGGGTGGGTCGTCGTGGGATGTCGGGATGCAACTGCAGAGGGAGAGATAGAGAGAGAAGATTTATTTATTTTTTTTTTTTTTTTGGGGTGACAAACTAATTAGCTTTTCAATCCGATCCCTTTTCATTTAATTTATCTAGTTCGGGATCCAAACCATTGGAATTTGATCCAACCACTACAGTTATTATCATTTTTTAAGAAGCCTCATGTTTGTAGCCGTTAGATTAAATTTCAACGGTCCGAATCCCGAATTAGATGGATTAGGTGGAAAGGAATCTATAAGGGATCATTTCCTTTCAATCCACCTATCCCAATTGATTTGTTTACACCAATAATTAAAGAACAAGACTTGGCTGCTGAAAATTCAGCAGCCACTCCTACTTACACCTAATTCCGGGTGGAAATGTGTCCAAGTTATGATTATTTTAATTAAAACTTCGACACGTGTTCACCCGGGATTAGATGTAAGGAGGAGTGGCTGCTGAATTCTTTAGCAGCCAAGTTAATTCCATAATTAAAAAGGAGTTTTAACAAAAAACCCACATTACTGTTCACTTTAACGAAAAATCATATTTTTACACTAAAAAGTCAATACCGGTACTATTCACTTTACCCTTTATTTTTCCCTTATCGTTAAAACTCAAAGTTTTCAAGTCATTTTCATTAGTTTTCCTTAATTAAAATAGGGAATTGTTATTGGCATTCCCAAATTCTCATTTTACACTCTAAACTTTCTATATTTAGAAAGAAAAATATAGTATAAAATGAGATTTTTGAAATACCAATAACACTTCCCTTAAAATATCCCAATCCATTTATTCCAACCCTAATAAATTCAAAATACAATAGCCCATTCTAGTCGGTCCACCAAACGGGTCCTACATGTTGATTAATTAACAATTTTTTACTAATTTAATAACAATGGAATTATTATTGACATTCCAAAAATCTCATTCTACACTTCAAACATTCTATATTCAGAAGACGATTCCTTTGCAATGATCACCATTTTATTACCATGGGACAAATGTTAGCTTCAAATACACATATTACAAAATGTACAGCTGATATGAAAATCGGAACTAAAAGTTTGCTACGGAGAGCTACAATGCGTGTCATTTATCAATAACCTCGCCTCGATATCACGAATATACAACTAATGATCAGCTAAACTTTTGAAAAAATATGCTTCCCCCAACCGGAGGCACCACTTCTAAAGCAAGACGAGTCACAGCATCGATTTCAGGGCTTCGATGGAGTTGGGGAAGACGGCGGTTTCAAATCTTGGCACTGCATCGGAAACAACCACAATGAAAAAAGTAGATGAACAAACAGACATGATCCTATTGGAAAAGTAACTTGAAACTGCCTATGGATTGTGCAAATCACCCACTAAGATTGGTTAATGGAAGCCATAACTAGAACGAATGAGATTAAAAAAATCTTTTAAGGTAAAGCATAATTAAGATCGGTAATCTTCTGTAACTAGTAATGATTCATGAGAAAGAAGCTGAACATACACTTGGGTAGGGAAAGGATGATCTAGAGCCATTTTTCACAAGTGACGCAAAGTCTGTAGCCTTGGTTGTGCGTCCATTGTCCGTTGTTTGACTTTCTCCAGTGGACAAATTTGTAGAAGTGGCAGCACCATTGCTCTGTACCTTTCCCCGAACAACTCCTCCGTTCGTCACAGTTTCTTGTGAAGTTTTAACCTTCTTCTTGGGGTAGATATGCATAGAAGGTGGCAAAAGAGTTTCTTGTGACTCCTGAGGAGGAAAAAGGTAGAGTAAACACATCATCTAAATTCTAATAAAACAAAACTAGCCAAAACACTTCAGCAATTCCTCGTGTTAAAACTTGAACTGCAGCTTCAGAATTCTTATATGCACTTGTCAAATGGTCTTTAAAACACGCTTGACGCAATTTCAAACCTATGCAGAAAATCATTTCACTAGGCAACTTGGATGCTTTAGTTAGGCCGTTATCGCTAGAACAGAAAAACAGAGTTCGTAAGAACTAAGCAGCATTCAAATTATGCACATATGCATAATGCTTGCCTTTTTATGGTGCTGGCACACTTCCAGGAAATGGATACTGTTCCTCATTCTAGAGTTAGAGAGTTCTCAACTATATTCGGAATTCGGATGGCTCACTCTGATTCTTACACATCGAAAAAATATTTTACCAAGATTTAATCAATAAAAAAAAAATCCAACCACATTCTCCTGAAAAGCATCAACACAAAGGCTGATCTCAATGGAGCTAGAGTTCAAATTAATCACAAATAACACGAAAAAGGCGGCAAGTAGAAGAAAAGAAAAGATGCTTACCAGCCACCCTTTTGTATCTCCAACCCCACCGTTGATTGCATAAGCCTCTTTGAAACCATTCTTGAACAGTAACTCAGCCACTTTGATGGAAATTCCATCAAAACTACCTTCCAACAAGAGAAACTGATACTGAGATTATACATACCTTTAAATCCAAAAAATGAAATAAACTTATCTTCCTTCCACGGATGTCATTATGGCGGTATTTAAGCCAATCAAGGGACACATGAACACGCGCAATTGGCTTGGGATACCATCACAATAGCATTCCGGTGCAGGTTTCTCTCCTAGCATTAGATATTCATCATAGACATAAACAATCAATCCACAGTCTCATAGTCGTAGCTAAGGATGCTTGGGTTTGCTTCTGAATACACTTTCAGTGCTTAATAACAACCAGAATCACTATGGACCACATTAAAAAGCGCTTCTTGGTTGTGGAAGTGCTTTTTCAGGAAGCATTTGGATTTTTAATATAAATTTCTACATGTTTATAAAAAAACCACTTCTAGCATAGGCGCATAGGAGAAGAAGAATGCTTTCTAAAAAAGTAGTACCAAACCACCAGAAACGAAGCTATAGCAAACTCTTTACACTTACTTGCCCAGAACGCAGACGACAGTCTTTGATGGGTTCCCAAACCTCTCCAAAACCCTTTTCACAAACCCAGCTTCATCTTCCTCCGAAAACGGAACCTGCACCGTGCACTTATTCAAAATTTTCAAATTCGGAGACTTCAGATACCCCAAGCTTTTCTCGTCCCGAACATCCAGCAGCTGACCGCTCGGGTCGTCCCGGAGCTTCCGAAACGCGTCAATGACAAGGACAAACTTGTACTTTCTCAAATACGCCTGGACCAGAGGAATCACAACCAGCCAGACGAACGTGCACCCAGCAACGAAAAATGGGTTTCGATTGAAAAAGTCATCGATCGAGACCAAGATTGATTCCAGGTTTATTTTGTCGGAAACTTGCTCAGGTACGGAGGCTGCGGATTCGGAAGCGATTCAGGGGAGAGTGAATGCAGTGGTTGCAATGAGCTCGGTGAGGAGGAATGTGAGTTGGGTGTTCGGTAATTTGTGGGGGAAATGAGTGGGTTTCAGAAGGAAAATTGGGGTGTAAGGAGTGTTCTTGGTGGAGGGAAATTGGGTGTAGGAAGTGGAAATGGCGGGAGTGGTGGTGGTTTGGGGAAGAGAGATGGGTGGTGAGGGGAGTGGTTTCTGGGTTTTGAGGTGGTTTTGGGGTGGTGGAGAAAAGGAGAGGATCATGGAGAGAGACTCCATTGGAGAGGAGTGAGAGAGATGTGTTGGGGTGGGGAGGAGAGAGAGAAGATAAGGCCAAGAATCAAAAGGATGATCATTGGAGTTGGATGGTAGATTTTGGGTAGTAACAAAAGCAGCCCATGAATCAAGAGTCCGCCCCAAATATCTACATTTTTGGGGGGCAAAGAACGTAATTCGCACTCCCTATTTTCTCTTCTTGTTAGATTGAGAGCACGTTTAAAACTGTTTTTAAAATAGTTGAAAATGGTTTTGGTGAAAAAAAATCAATTTTTAGTAAAAATACAATAAATTTTCGAAAAGCACTTAAAATCCTTCTTAGAATAAGCACATAATTAATGCTGCACTTGAAGTGCTTTTGGAACTCAAAAATAAGACTTGAATACTTATGTTCTTTATATAATCAACAAAATAAAATTGGGGTGCCGTTAAAACAAATGTTCATGGATCCAAAACCTTAGATATAAGCAAGTAATCATCTACCACAATTGTGTAAAGAAGTGTTGCATTTACACTACGGCATGGATTCAAATCTCCCTCCAATCTAATATCTAATCTAATAAATTTACTTTTTGAAAAAAAAAATAGATGCAATGCTAGTTTAACGCGAAATCAATTCTCAGTTTTATCGATAATTTTCTCTACAACAATGCCCAAATCCACCATACAATTTACAAAGCTACCAACATTCACACTACCAACTGAGTTCCAATTTTTTAACCATTAACTTGGTGCGCCAAGTCTCTTCTCAAAACCATTGATAAAATCCTCCATGCACGCTCTGTAAGTCTCCATTCCATGAACATGCTTAGCAAGTTGCAAACCCACATCCATCCATTTCCTCGCCACATCAATCTGCCCGAGCCGCACAGGCAGCGACGCCCTGTTCCATGCCGTCATGGCCAGCCATTTCCCTTCTTCCGTCGGGTACTCTCCGTCCTTCAGTCCCACCATTATTCGATAAGCCTGCTTGTACATGCCATAAACAGCATCGTCATCTGCATCCCCCCTGTGAATGCTGGTCACTCCAATGAGCTTCCGAACAATGAGAGCCACACTTTGGTAGTCTGCCGTGGAGGAAGAGAGGAAGGACGATAGGCACTCGTTTAGAGCAAAGACTGCGACTTCAGGATTGGTTCGGGGAGGTTGTGAAGCGCTGATGCCGATCTGAAGGAGGTTTTTGTGATTGCAGGCCCTTGAAGTAGCAAAATTCTTCACTAGTTTTAGTTGTGATGATAAGTCATTGAGCCTTCCATGTATCTCATAGGCACAAAAGGTGTAGATGAAGAACAAATCAGGCTCAGTTGTTGAAAATTGATCACCGATAAGTTGATTCCCGGCTGAATTTGTTTTCAACATCTGCATCTACACAAAAACCGAATTAGGATTTAGAGAGGCAGCAAATCTAATGCGAATAAGGCATACATTTTGCTAATACATACCTTCCCAGCTCTATCTAGAAGTTCTTGAGCTTGTTTGACTTCACTTTCATTCAATCTAGTCTTCCTATGATTCTCTGAAGCTATAATTGCAGATACACTCAGAATTAACGACTTGCAGACCATGTTTTCTTCTACTTGCCCATCAACCAGAAGACCATAAAACTCCGATGCCAGTCTCAAGAATTCGCCACACAATTCATAGTTCTTCTCCTTCCCGGTTTTGGTCCCCAAGTTCCATGAAGTCACAGCAAACCAGTTCCTCTCCCGTCTTCCGGCCTCCCCTGTCCCGAAAAAGGAATCAGGACCAAGCTCAGACGCACGATTATGGACGCGCTTAAGAAACTTGAGGGCTTCATCCTCATTTCCGGGTTCTTGGGTTAGAATTGTGACCAAGGTGCGTAGAACTACGACTTCAGTTGCTGGCATCGATTTTCCCGGGGTATAGAAGCTCAGCAGACTTGATAGAGAAGCAACCGCAACAGCAAGAACACGGCAAGCAACAGCTTCATGGGCTGCAAGGGAGAGAAAATCTGGTGTAAAATCGAGGCAGGTTGTCATTGCCTGAATCTGATTAGTAGCTCCATTGTGGTCTTTCTTCTGCAGATAAATCTTGAACTACATAAACCCACACAGGAAGTGTTAATGTTCATCTAAGTAAAAAGGGTAAGATTTAGGATCCAGCTAAAGCTATAAAGGGTTAATTACCTTTAGGAAAGCTGAAGCAATGTTCGGTTCAAGCTGCAGAAACAGAGAACAGAGAAGCCAGTTAGTAGAGAAATTGAGTTCCATAGAACCAAAACTCCAATGTTGTAGCTATAATTTAGCGAATGCAAACCTTTTCGGCCTCGTTGATGTATTCATGTGCTTGATCAAGCTGGGAGAGACCCAAATGGCAGAGACACAAAACTCTAAATCCCTTGGCCCTGAGAATTCTACTCTCAATGTCAAATGGGATATAAAGCATTGCTTTCTCAAACATTTCTGCACTAGTTTCGTAATCTTTCGATCGAAAATGCTCAGCACCACTGTCAATTGTCAAATCACAAAATTCATACAATAAAACGATTGATGATATGAAAATTTCAAATAACTAACAATTAAGCAATTCAATTAGGAATGTATGAAACTATGACCATACCAATTCCACAGCACTGAATGCATTGCAGTTCTCTGTTGGGCAGCCGCGTCACCATTGAAGAGGGCCACCACTCTCTCGTCTGATGCGAGCTCCGCCACCACCTTGGCCCGAATTCTTGATCCCTCACCGGCGTCACCAATCACCCGGTGGGCCACCCTAACAGCCGAGGTGGCGCTGACGTGGCACCTTCCTAACAGTCCCAGAAACACTCCCTTCGCCGTCTCTGCTCCGGCAGTCCCAGCCGCCTGAAAATAAGCCTCCACAGCCGACACAAAAACGCCCTCCGGAATCCCCTTATTTACCACCATGCCCCTCAGCTCCTTCTCGGCCTCGGCGTACTTCCCCAACCCCAGCCAGCCCTTCATCGCCAGAACCGATAGGCTCGGATGGTGGTCTCCACTCTCGCACCCCTCTCTCAGCACCCTCACGCACTTGATCACGCTCTCGAACTCGTTCATCTGCAGATGGACGGCCGAAATGAATCGCAGCGTCTTCGACCTCAGATCCCTGAGTTCCATGATCTCTTCGCGTGTTCTCGCCACACGCAATCCCTTCTCGTACAGATCCAGAGCCTCGTTCATCAGCTTCAACGCGTCGTTTAGGTCCTGAATCTCGCTCTTGGCAAGCGCCGTCTTGCCGAACGCCAAGTACTGGTTCGCGAGCGCCTTGTGGTGATCCGGCGACCCGAATAGCAAGCTCTTGGCCCTGTTCAGCAGCGCGATCGCGACATTTCGGTCGGAGACGTCCCATGCGGTTTTCGATCTCGCGATGCTCAGGTCCAGGAGAAGCTTTCTCTCTCCGCAATCGGAGACTCTGTCGATGTCGATCTTCGAGACTATATCTGTAGCTCGCTCGAAGCATGAGGAAGCGAGATCAAAGCTCCGGAGGTCGTGCCATATGAGGCCGGTCTTGAGGTAGAAGGAGGCGGACTTGATCACCGGGGAAGGGACACCAGAGACGTCGCCGGATATGAAGAGGAGGTCAGCGGCGACGTGGCGGAGCTTGGCGTGGTCTTCGGCTCTGGACGCGCTGAGGGAGCGGAGGGAGGCGGCGTTTGAAAGGTCGACGCAGGCGTTCCAGAGGCGGTAGCTCAGCTTCCAGATGAGGAGCTTCAGTGAGTTGGGGAAGGGAGAGAGTTGGCTCAGTTGAGTCGAGAATCGGCGGAGATCGGCGGAGACTGTGTCCGGGGAGAGCTTTTCCGGGGACAGATTCTCGATTTGTTTGATTGAGGACTCGATTTGGGAGATGAGAAGTTGATGAGATTGCGATGGAGGTTGTTGTTGAGGTTGGGAGTCGGCGTGGCCTTGCCGGAGATCCGGCGTTGAGAGCTCGGCGATCCTCATTTGTGTTTGGCGGGAAGTTGAATGAATGACTGTAAATGTGAAGGAGGGAAAGTTACCTCTTGATTTTGTTTTGAAATTTTGGGGAAGATGAAAAGTTACGGTGCGATTAACGACTCTAAGGAAAGTGTCGTACAAGAGACGCAAAATATTGGGCTTTTTAAACCCCTCTTTGTTTTCTACAAACCAAATTTATCCTGTTTAATCAGAAGATAAATAATTACGATAAAAAATAAAAAGTTGAAGTAATGCTATTTTAGTGTGGGGAATTTTGACGATCGTGGTTCGTCACTAGTTTTCTTCCTTGTTAAATAGAACACAATTTTGAGAACTGACATTAACATGAGCAAAGGATGAACATTTCTAATTCAACTTCATTAGATGTGAATTGAGCATTTTCTCAAATTAAACGAAGACAGATTGTCATTAAACCAAATAATTGATCGCGGTTCTTCATTTTGAAAAGCTATTTTCTATCCAGCATCCCTCATTTCTAAAATGATGTTCGGACATGACGTAGGTATTAACAGACTTGGAACAACCCGGTCAATGCATTGTCAATACTTCGAGAGAGAGATTAATTCTTATGTGTGTGTGTGTGTGTGTTCATCGTCTCTCATAATAACCTCTGCACCTACCAAGTACCTGACCAATTGCCCTGAAAGAAAAATGTATGCAAAACACCTTCATATTTGGACGATTGGTTCCTCGCGAGTTACCGATGAAAATTTTCCGTAACAAAATTTCAGTTATACGATCACCGGAGGCTCGAGGCATTAATACCATTTCCGGTACGTTATGTTATAAAATACTTGAGAGGTTTTCTTATTCAAAACTGGCATATGATCCCTTCCAAAGTTTTCAGGATGTCTGAAAACTCCATGAATGATCAACCTGTTGGCTATTTGCATTTTGCAGGCAGTCAAACTCAAACACAAGGCAGACAAAAAACATATACAAAAGTAAAACAAAGTACATATTAGAGGATCAAATATCTCCTTGTACATCCAACTAACAAAATTAACAAGACATTTTTTTTTTCTTTTTTTGGGGTCTTTTTCGGATACTAATATCATTCTTACATTGAACATCGACGAACTCAGAGGGTTAAAGACTAACCGTTAAACTGAGAAGGATCACAGTCACTTTTTTGGCCATCAAATTAGTGAAGATACGCCGCAGGCTGATACTGGTAGCCGGTTGCAAAGTAGTTTCCATGAGCAGGAGACATGTTGTAATGGTTGTCAGCAGGTCCCGGGTAAACAAACTGTCTGTCGTACACATACTGCGGGTACCTGTTTTCAGCAACTCTAGGATAGAAAGTCTTGTCAGCAACAGCATTAGTGACGCGGGGAGCATATCCAACACCGTTAGCACGAGGTCTCTTGGGCTGAGGCTTTGATGCTTCAGCCACCCTCTTCTTGTCTGCCTTGGCCTTTTCCAGCTGAAGAACCCGTTTCTGAAGCGGATCCACTGGGTACTGCTCCTCAAGCTTATGCTCTTCAATGGACTTGAGCACTGCCTTAAGGGCAGCCAACTCACGGTCGTTCACTTCATTCTGAAACAATGAAATATTTGTTAGGTGCAGCCAATTTGCAACTACATGGCCATACTTTCTCCGGCAAAATCCAATCAAATATCAGTGTTATGCTATCTCACGTTAATTGTATTAAATCAAACTAAACTTCATATTACACAGATAATTGATAACTGCAATCAAAACTATTACAACATCCAATAAAGATGAATGTACCTGTGCTGTGGGGGATGCATTTCCAGATTTGACTGTAGAAGTTTTTCTTGCCTCTTTCAAGTAGGACTTCAGTAAAGGCACAGGAGGGAACTTCTCCGTCAGTTCAAATGCAAAAGCCAAGTTAACTGCATCAATTTGCCGTCCACTATTCACTAACACTTCAATAACACCTGCCAAATGCCAACATTAACATAATCAACTGCAAGAAAACACAAAAGTTGAAGTTCATTCAAGGAAGAAATCAATTTTTTTTTAAAGTTCTATGTTCTCAATATTGGTCCATTAATCCAAGCATGCATCATTTTCAGGTTGAAGTTAAATGACTTTCGCTAGAATTATGCTGCAAATGCCAGGAGAATGATGTTGCTGCACGTTTACACAATGACTCTAATGAAATGCAAGACCAGCTTATATAGGCTTCCGAGTAACTCATCACATATGAACAGAAAGGAGGTTTGACCGCAGTTGCAATTCTTACCTTATCTCAGTGGTTATAATGACAATGATCTAGTGGGGAACAAAACATTACGAAGTTATAGACTTGTAAACAAAAACAAGCCAAAGATACATGCAAACTAGTAAAAGATAAGGGGAAAAACAAAAGTAAAGAAGAAAAAACATTTCCTCCGTTTGGGATAGTTAACATAGACAATTTTTAAGGACCGCGTATTTATTTATCAAACTACAAAAGTTCCGAAAATGTCACCTAAATGTAGATTTTCATAAAGAAAAACACAAACCTGGCATTCTCTCAGTCAATCCAAGAGAACGGCAAAGGTCAGCTGCTTGGCGACGACGTGAAACCATCGGTATTAGCCTGAATAGTTCTTCCTCATCAAAACCAGAGGTAATACCAAAAGTTCCAAGAAGTTGCAAAAAGGCATGAGCCTCAAGTGAGTTCCCATTGCTAGCATCCATGTCAAGAGCATCCAACTTCGGCTTCCATTCTTCAGCAATTGCCTCTGCCAGATCCTTAACCTCCTCTGTAATTATATCAGATGCAGAGGCTAATTCTGGGTTTGCAAGCAGTGTGCTCAGACACTCCATCAACATGATACAAGTTCGACGGACACCCAACAGGTTTGCATCCTTCTTCCCGTCCGTATTGGGCCCTTCCAGGCGATAAAAGTCTTCCAAAGATTCCAAAACAAATAGGGCAGGGTTGGATGCAGCTCTTAATGCAAGTGGAATCTCCTCCCTTATGGAAGCAAGGTTCTTCCGGTTATCTGATATAAATTTGTGGAGCCCTTCTGAGTCCATCTGTTCACACAGTTTCACTAACTGGGGATAGGATATCACCTCTATACTACTCCCCATTTCAGGACTTTTCACTTCTTCGAAGTTAATTTCAGAAACCATCACATCTGGTGGTTTCTCTTCCACACTTGGCTGCTCACCTTGGCCATCATCAGTGACAGCAGAAGGCTCCTCAGTTGATACCTTCCTTTGCTTCTCTCGAGCACTAGTAATAGCATATGTAGCAGCATCTCTCTTCGCTTGAAGAGTCTCCAGTGAAGCTTGTTCCTTGGCCACAACGGCAGCTTGCCGCTTTGCTAACATTTTTTGGGCTTCCACTGTTCGGGTTTCGAACTCCTTTTCTTGGCTTTCCAGCTCATCGAAACGCCTCTTTAAGGACTTTTCAAGACCATGGAAATGGGCTTCCAGTTCTTTCCACTTCAGGTTCAGCGTTACAGCTCGGTGACTCTCAAGTTCAGCAAATGCTTTCTGAAGCTGTTGTATCTTAGAGGTTGTACAATCTATCAGCGTGGAAACTGAATGGGTATTATCCATGGCAAAGGATCTGGAGATAACATTACAGAGAAATGTCAACACATTGAACTATCAACAGTCAAAGAAGCAGAAAAACTACATGCTGACTTCGATCTGATAAAGCATCTTGTTTAAACAAATCATACCCCTAAAAAAACACAGGTCAATACGTGCATAATTAGATGTAGAAGAAAATTATAGTCTGCCAACCGCAAAGGTATTCAAAAATATTGTTGGCTTCGACTGAAGGATAAACTGTATGTTATGGCATTCTCAAGCCACACCAAATATATATCGGTTGAGTAATCATCCATATGCAAACAGCAGAATAAAGATACAAAAAAATTAACAGTCGTTACTTTCCCTATGCAACTAAATTTGACAAACAGAAATGGAGAGTTTCAAGGATGAAGTTAAACCAGATGAAAGAAAGACCGCATAACCGCGCAATACAAAGCAAACCCTCAAATTGGGACGGAGTTGCTCCACTCAACGCATAAAATGATCCCAACTTCATAGCTTCAAAACAATTCATCATGGAAATAAAGTAAAAACAAAGCGTGGTCCCATGAATCATCAAAAGGGAAGGTTAGCTCAACTAATCCACTACAAATTTACCTCCTTAATCATTCTATTAATAACATTATCCTCAAATTGACAAGATTACACATTTACAGCAAAAGTAAAAACCTTGAGGAGCATTAACCTCGGTCCATAGAACTCACATAAAACCTAATTTCTATAGCAAATTAAGACAAAATGGCTCACCAGTAATTACAGCAAGCTTAAATTACCGCAGCGAAGATGTACGAGTAAAGATCTCCAAATGCCTGATTCGCAAACGACACTTCAAAACCCTAAAACCTAAAAAGGTCAAAACAAAACGTCAAAAAAATCGAAATTAAACGACAAAAACACAAAATTAGCAACCGAAACTCTCTAATTTCAGACAGAACATCCCGTCGGTTCCCGGGGGAAACATTTCCCCGACTTTCCCGGAAAATCGAGCAATTTTCGCGGGAAAACAGAGAAATTTCCGCGGAAAGGAAACGGCGCCGATCTGAAGATTACAGTACGAGATTAAGACGAATGAGTTTATCAGCAAGTAAAGGAGGGAACTTTACCAAAAAGCCCCGATGCAATTGTGGAAATTGCGACGAGGGCCGATCAATCCATGGCTGCTGAGACTGGCGGTCGATGTGCGAGTGTGTGGCTGCTGCTCTCGGCAATCCCTACATACAGAGTCGATGAGAGAGAAAGAGAGCGGAGAGAGAAAGTTCAGACAAGCAAGCGAGTGTTATATGTCGCAGCCTGCCCTCTTTCTTTTGCTTTTTAAGGGGCACTCTCGTTTTGGATATTTCCACGTTCGGGAATGGGGAGAGACAGAGGGTGTAACGAGATTAATGGGCCTGGGTTGCGGGAGTGTTGTTAGTGAAATGGGGAGTGGTGTTAGGGTTGTGCCACGTGCCGTCTATGGATAGGAGTATGAAAATTATCTTTGTCGTACAAGGTTTTTGTGTCTTCTTTTGTTTAAGTAATGCTCATCAATAGGAGTGTGATATCCACACATTCTTTTTTATTTCTCACATATTTTTTTAATTTTCTTTCATCGAA